CAAACCTAAACGTTTGGTGCAAATAACGTCAAGAGTATATAGAAGGGGGTGGGGGTTAATACACTCGTTGCTGATTTCCCATTTGCTTTAAATGTGCTGAAAATCACATGAAATGTAGATTATTATATACCTCATCCAATACGGGGTGCAAAAATTCTAGCAGCTGACAATAAAAAGGTCTTATTTGAGCGCATATCAACCAATGTCCAGAACAAACCTAAACGTTTGGTGCATATAACGTTTAGAGTATATAGAAGGGGGTGGGGGTTAATACACTCGTTGCTGATTTCCCATTTGCGTTAAATGTGCTGAAACTCACATGAAATGTAGATTATTATATACCTCATCGAATACAGGGTGCAAAAATTCTAGCAGCCGACATTAAAAAGGTTTTATTTGAGCGCATATCAACCAATGTCCAGAACAAACTTAAACTTTTGGTGCATATAACGTCCAAAGTATATAGAAGGGGATGGGGGTTAATACATTCGTTGCTGATTTCCCATTTGCTTTAAATGTGCTGAAACTTATATGAAATGTAGATTATTATATACCTCATCGAATACAGGGTGCAAAAATTCTAGCAGCCGACATTAAAAAGGTCTTATTTGAGCGCATATCAACCAATGTCCAGAACAAACTTAAACTTTTGGTGCATATAACGTCCAAAGTATATAGAAGGGGATGGGGGTTAATACATTCATTGCTGATTTCCCATTTGCTTTAAATGTGCTGAAACTCACATGAAATGTAGATTATTATATACCTCATCGAATACAGGGTGCAAAAATTCTAGCAGTCGCCGCTATTTCCCATTTGCCTTAATTTTGCTGAAAATCACATGAAATGTAGATTATTATATACCTCATCCAATACGGGGTGCAAAAATTCTAGCAGCTGACCATAAAAAGGTCTTATTTTAGCGCATATCAACCAATGTCCAGAACAAACCTAAACGTTTGGTGCAAATAACGTCAAGAGTATATAGAAGGGGGTGGGGGTTAATACACTCGTTGCTGATTTCCCATTTGCTTTAAATGTGCTGAAAATCACATGAAATGTAGATTATTATATACCTCATCCAATACGGGGTGCAAAAATTCTAGCAGCTGACAATAAAAAGGTCTTATTTGAGCGCATATCAACCAATGTCCAGAACAAACCTAAACGTTTGGTGCATATAACGTTTAGAGTATATAGAAGGGGGTGGGGGTTAATACACTCGTTGCTGATTTCCCATTTGCGTTAAATGTGCTGAAACTCACATGAAATGTAGATTATTATATACCTCATCGAATACAGGGTGCAAAAATTCTAGCAGCCGACATTAAAAAGGTTTTATTTGAGCGCATATCAACCAATGTCCAGAACAAACTTAAACTTTTGGTGCATATAACGTCCAAAGTATATAGAAGGGGATGGGGGTTA